ATGTCAATAATATAAGTTATGTTAAAATTTCAAAACATTAAGCTGGGTCCACACGATGATAGTTACTCTCGCGAGAGTCGCTATCATGATAGTAGCTCTCAACTATCATGCACGTATGATAGTGTGARAGCTGCTCTCACGATGGTTCGACAGTTACTATTGCCATGTTCACACGGCGATAGTATTCGATAGTACTATCACGATACCRACTATCGCGAGAGTAACTATCATCGTGTGGACCCGGCTTTAGGTAAACAGTCAATGTGGTCGAGTTCGTTCGTGATCAAACATATCACAATTCACAAGATAAWGAAGTGTAGAAAATTATTTTATAAACATTTAAATTAAACTAACATTAACTAATTAAAAATAAATATTAATTACTACCTATTGTTTGTCAAACAGTTTTACGAGCCACGATTTTGTTATCTTCATAGACAATAATCATTATCAGTAGAGTTAAAAAAATCTACCTATTTATTTAGGGTCATTGGAGTTAACCCAGAGTCAACTACTCTGAGTTACCGAACTCTGCTATCCGGAATAATGCTGGATAACTAGAGTTAACTAGAGTCGAGTTTTCGAATGCACCCAATGAGTGGAACTAMAGCAGCTATCAAATGAGTTTTTTCATTTTAATTTATGCCGTAATAGAACAAGTATGTTGGCCGTTGGATATGAGTCTATATTTTTATACGATTACTGTAACGTGAACAGTTACCGTTCATATTATTTTATACAGTGGATATTACAGCTGAATATTTTGATTTATAATATTTACATGTTAGTGACAACTGATAAACTGAAGCCAGTTACACAGCCTTAAGTCTTAACTGCGCATTAGCCAAGCGATCATAGTTGCATATTTTTCTAATTTATAATAAATATTTTAATCAATCTATMAATTTATTGAATTATTCTACTACGTTGAAATCTGTATAATTTATAATACTTTTTTTATATGAAATAAAAATAGATACATAGGTTGAGATAAATATGMGACTAGTTACTAGCATATGTACAGTTGAACAGTGGCGTGTCCAGCACAAACTAATTGGGTAGGCGCATTCAGTTGTGTAGTTTGTTTACTCTACACCGAAAAGATTTTGCCTATAAAAAAATAGCATTATGGGTAGTACATTTTTAGGTTTTCAATTTTGACCATTATACTTGCTGTATTTAGGTTTATTTTTTTATTTAATAATAGGCACTTTAAAAGTAAATTATTTTTAATAATATTGATTAAATATGTACTAGGTAAATGGTACCTAGGTATAACATAATAGAAAATYTAACAGTCTTTATTCTTTATAGACATTTTAGAGAAAAAAAAACTTAAAAATTACAAAATTATAAAATAAATAAACAAATTATTATTAATTTACAGAGTAGAGCAAATTATTTTCAACAATATTAACTAAATATTAATATGTACTAGGTAAGTGGTAGGTATAACATAATAAGAAATTTAACAGTCTTTATTCTTTATAGACATTTTAGAGAAAAACAACTTAAAAATTAACAAATATTATAAAACAAATAAACAAATAAATATTAATTTACAGAGTAAAGGAAATTCGTCTATTTTTTGTTTTAACAAACTCGCCAATCACAGGATTAGGATCATTTATCAATGGACTACTCAATACTCTTTCAATTTATAATATCGCTGTATTATGAAGGCGCTCAGTGGTCATTGTTGACCTCAAATATGTTTTAATTCGGTCCATAGCTGAAAAGCTTCTTTCGGCTGCTGCACTTGATACAGGAATGACCAGAATTTTGGTTATTATTCTTTTTTTTTCATTAAAAACTGGTTCTAAACTTGTAAGTTCTTTGTGGACTTCAAAAATGTCAACTGCTTTGTTCAAACCCTAACCTAACGATTTTTCATAAAATCTATCTAAAATTGTGATCGTGATGCTATAAACAACTTACTATTATAGCTATTCACTCCTACACGCCGCGCCAAATYCGATATAGTAACAATGTATAGTGATAACTGATATAAAAATACTGATAACAAAATATGTGATAATAATTTTGATATGATTGACCAATGGCAATGTCATCTATAAACATTGATCATGTCCACGGTTTAAGATAAACACTTATATATATATACCTATGTATATATATATTTTAAGTCGTGAGTTGTGATAAAAAAAAAAAAGTAGTCAAATTTAATTGGGCAGGCCCGGGCCTAGTCGGCCTACCCTGTAAACACGCCACTGCAGTTGAAGGATCATAAAGTCATAACACTTATGGTGACTTGTCGGCTGTCGCTAACATGTAAATTATCAATTAAATACCATGCAATGGCTCTATCCACTGTATAATATGATCTTAGCATTTTTGGGGACACAAATTACCAACTCTGGCTGAGGATTTATTGGTTCCATTGAAACTACCTACGTTAAAAAACGGTTTATATTGATTCTATCGGATGCTGTTAGTATTTAAGTTCTTATTGATTTTAGTCTTATATTTTTTGAAACATACAAAAAAAAAATTTGTAGGTAAGAGTATAACTATTCCTACACGAGTCTTGGCTCTACTTTTATATATTAAAATGTAGTCGATGTAGTCAAGAATCTCATTATTCAAACATTATTTTTATGGATTATTGTCTTTAAAAAATATAGGCAATAGATTTTATAAATAAATAATTGTAAAATGTTTCAGCGTATTATTTTAATTTTTTTTGTTTTTATGGGTTTCTATTTCTATTTATTTTTTCGATGCATTTCTATGGCGAAAATATTTACAAAAACATAATAGTTTTTGAAGTAATGAATGATCCATCAATTATGATAAAATAAATCATTCTGTATATTAATATATATATATATAAAAAAAATACTTCCATTCAAATAAAATAACTTTTGAGTATTTTTACTTGAATATTAATACTTTACAGAATATTTTTTTCAAAATCATGAATCATTAGTTATTTCAAAAATCATTAACGTTTTTGTAAATATTTTTTTACATAGAAATAAGTACCTAATACCTAACAAAAAATATTAATTTTTTAAACTTTATTGAAATGTCATTAACTATTTTTTTAAATTTAATTTTGTCATTTTTTTATAGTTATGATTTTTCAGGCTTTAWTTTTTTAATTTTTGTATGATCAGTATCTGGCGAATTCAAAAGCTAGTTTAATCGATGTATAGATATTATTATAAACAAGCTGTTGGAGTTTATACAATATACGTTCGTATGTGTTGTCCGTGCAAGTCGTAGAGCATAGTAAATGTTGAGTTGTTGACTTTCATATTTTGTGTGAATTGACCTAGTATTAATTTTAGAACATTATAATGTGATTTTAATTTTGTATTTTACAGTAATTTAGATTTTAAGCAATTTTAAGCATTTTTAAATCGTAATTTTATACATACCTACTCATAATGTCAAAACTCATTTAAAAATTTAAATGTCATGACCAACCAACTTACAGGTCGTACTAATCTAATACTAATCCTAACAATAGGTACAACATTGGACCTTCTGAACAGAAGTTTTTATGTTTGATAATATATTATATTATATTATTTGTACATAATATTAAGACAGAAAAAATACATGCAGTCATAGCATTTATTTGATCTTTCTTAACATTTCTTTAAATGAACTAT